CTCCTCCTCCTCCTCCAGCTCCTCCTCCTCCAGCTCCTCTTCCCTGAGGTAGAACCACGAATCACTCCTGGAGCCTCAGGGATGATTCATTCAACCTTTTGACCAGTGTCTCCACCCTCAGGGTCCTTACACTCTCAGGGATGCGGAGGCCGGAGGCCGGTGTGGTCTTCCAGCTGTTCTTTCAGCAGCCTTTGTGCGCGAATGGGGCACCGTGGAGGGCTCCAAGCACCCCTGTGGCTCTGCCCACCCCTGTGGTTCCACCCACCTGTGGGGCTCCACCCACTCCTATGGCCCCACCCCCACGGTTCCTCCCACCCAGTGACTCCACCCATCTGATGGCTCCACCCACTCATATGGCCCCACCCATTCATGTGGTCCCTCCCACTAGCAGCTCCACCCACTCATGTGGCTCCTCCCACCGAGTGGCTCCACCCACCTGATGGCTCCACCCACTCCTGTGGCTCTACCCACCTCTGAAGCTCCTCTCACCCCCCTGGTTCTCTGACCTGCACACCAAGGTGCTCGTTTCTTTCTTTTTTTAAATATATTTTATTGATTTTTTTACAGAGAGGAAGGGAGAGGGATAGAGAGTCAGAAACATCGATGAGAGAGAAACATTGCTCAGCTGCCTCCTGCTCACTCCTCACTGGGGATGTGCCCGCAACCAAGGTACATGCCCTTGACCGGAATCGAACCCGGGACCCTTGAGTCCGCAGGCCGATGCTCTATCCACTGTGCCAAACCGGCCAGGGCAAGTGCTCGTTTCTTAGTTAAACGCATCTACTAAGCAGCGGGCGTTCTCCCTCCGCGTTCTGGGTGCTGCTTAAACCACGAGCATCACTGCCCACAGCCCTCCCACAGCTGACCCCCACCTGCTTGGCTGGCGTCTCCTGTGCGGGCCCAGCGTGGCTCTGCTGCAGCTTGGGAATGTGCCCAAGTGATTTTTTGAAACCTTCGTCTAGTTTATTCTTCAGGGGCCTAAAATAACTCGTCATAAGCTGTTCTTGGTGGCATTTCTTTGGAGTGAGATCAAACCACAGTGTGTGTGTGCTCGTGCACATATATACTCTCTCTCTCTCACACACACACACACACACACACACACACACAGGTAGCCGGCCTGGTCTTCTGCCGAGTCCCTGTGTGTGTGTTTCGGTGCCCAGCGCACATGGGGACCGGGCGGAACTTTCAGTGCGCCCTGCCTGCCATCTCGGGAGCGGACGGCCATGCGAGCGGCTGAATTGCAGAATTTCGGAAGGTGACTCTCCCATCACACTTGAATCGCTTAATTTAATTTTCACTTCCAATCAGTTGCTAAGCAACGGGGAAGACAGGACGAAATCAGCAAGGCTAATGCGGTTCTGGCGAGTCCGTCACATCTCGTATTCACGGAGCCGGGTGGTTGTACATGCGCTGAGCCCGCTGGGCTGCGCTGTGTCGCCGAGGCGCGCAGGTGGCGTGGGAGTGACAGCAAGGCGGTGGCTGGGCCGCCGGCCCTGAGATTCCCACCCTGGCCTCGGGCGACCCTCCTGGTGTCCTGGATTTTTTTTTGTTGGGCCGTGTTGGGCCGTGTTGGGCCGTGTTATGTGTCCGGTGGGCTGCCGGACCCGGCCCTACCGCAGCCGTCGCAGAAGGGAACTCCCATGGCCTGCGAGTCCCCTGGCATCGAGGACCCGGCCTGATGGTTCCCGAGATCCACCCGAACCAGTTTGGCTTTGAATGTGTGCGCGGGCTGTCAGCGTGGGAAGCGTGCGGACAGAAAGCCACTCTCCGTGCCACTCTCCGTGCCTTGTTGGTCAGATTTGGAATTGTTACTCCACTTGGCCCATAAAGGTAGCCCTGTGTCAGATACCAACACTGGTGGCTTAAATGTTCTTTTTCTTTTTTTTAAAATTCATTGATTTTTAGAGAGAGGAGGGGGGAGGGAGGGAAGGAGAGAGAGAAAGACACCAATGTGCTATTCCGCTTACTTATGCATTCAGTGGTTGATTCTTGTATGTGCCCTGACCGGGAATTGAACCCATAACCCTGGAGTATTGGGACGATGCTCTAACCAGCTGAGCTACCCGCCAGGGCCCTGGTGACGTAAATGTTTTGAATGCTTTTTTAAGTCATGTGATTATGAAGGAAGTCCCCCTTGCCCAGCCCAGGTGCCACCCTCTGTCCCGCGTCGAAGGCAGGACACCTGACCAGGGTGGCCCGTCTTCTCATGGTTGTGTGTGATGTTCGCAGGGTGGTGGGGAGTTCACAGACATCAAACTGGTGGGAATGTCAGCGCTCAGTGGCCACGATACAGTAAGTGACCGTGACCTGTGGCTTCCATCCGAGGTGGGAGAGCAGCCCGTGTTAAACAGGTTGAAGAGAGTGTCTTCCGTGGGCTCAGATAACTACTTGGAGGAGACGGGGTCTCAACAAAGGCCTGTGGGCATGTGACTGCCGGTGACCAGGTAGAACTATGTAGTGAAGAAGGAGATTATAGGAAGGGGGTGGGGGGAAGTGCCTTTTAGTTCTATAATTAAACATTTTCTCTCCTGAACAGTGACTGGTATGTGTGTGGTGCTGAGCTTGGTAGAAACGCGCTCCCGGCTGGAAGGAAGGGCGAGCGGGTTGGGAGGAAAGCCTGGGGTTCGTGCGCCCGACGGCAGATGAGCTTGTTACCCGAGTTCGCTGTCTGGCTGAGGGGCGAGCCGGGGCTCACCTGTTAGGTCCTCGGAGGGAGCTGTGTGAGTGAACAGTAGGAATGTCCGGGGAGGAGAAGACACGTTCTTGACGCTTGTGCCGACCTATTTTCAAGGGACAATGTCTTCACAATCTGGGTGTTCCTTCCAAATTCATTCATTTTACTCTACAGGTACTCACTGTTTGAAAAGCCAGTTTTCAACATGTCAACTTTTCAGGAGTGTCCATTTTAATATTGGCTTTTTTAGAGCAGTTATTTCTAACCCGTCTTTATATGGGCTTATGCCTCTATAAAAATTGACAGATATACCCGTAAACTACGTGTGTTTATATTTGAAAGCTGTATACACATTACTGGATAGGTAGCGTTATCAGTGATAATAAAAGCATAATGTGCTAATTAGACCAGACGACCTTCTGGACAACCTTCCAGACGAAGCTGGGGCTGCAGCTGTGGGGACCAGGCAGCCGCAGCGGCTGCGAAAGCCTGCTCTTACACGAATTTTGTGCATCGGGCCTCCAGTTTACGAATACAGTACAGGCATTATAACGACGAGCAGGAAAGGGGACGTTGATGGAAACGCTGAGATTGGACAGCGGCGTCGTGTCCTGTGAGGGCGAGTGCCACGTTCTCATTAGTGCCTCGGCAGGCGGTGCTGTAGGTCGGGTTCGTCATTAGAGACAATATTCCCAGTGTTTTGTTTATTGTTTCCGACATGCGGGTGGCTCTGCAGCCACCAGTCCGCTGTGCTAGCGTTGCTTCTCTGTCGGGCCGTGTGCAGGGTCACAGGTGCCCGGGGATCCCAGCGGGAGGGTGCCACGGTGAGAGGCCGAGGGACAAGGACACGACGGTCCCAGATCAAGTGCAGATAGTTTCTCTCCGCTCCCCGAGAATCAGCCCGTACACACCCCGTAAGAGGCCTCCGCACCAGCTTCTCTCGTATTTTCACACGTGGTCGGGTGGAGGGGGTGGGGAGGCTTGCAGTGGAGATGCCCGTGTGCTGACACGCAGCGGGGTTGCGTGCCCTCGCACTTTCCCAGCAGAAGCTGGGGGGCCGCGGTGAGAGGTGGATTTGACCCTGAGCCCCAGCTCTGCCCCCCACCAGCCTCAGTGTCCTCCCTGGAACCTCACGCAGAGGGGCTGAGACCTGAAGGTCAGAGGGGAGAGCTGTCAGGCCTGTGCCCGTCGCTGACACTCACGCGCGGTTGAACCGCCCTCCGGGCCTCACGGGGGTGACTTCCCTGGGCTGGGGCGCGCCTCCCTCAGTGACGCTTCGTTGTCTGTTCCCTCCTAGACTGCCTGTTCCGGCTCTGCCCCATGAACCGCTACTCCGCGCAGAAGCAGTTCTGGAAGGCGGCCAAGCCCGGCGCCAACAGCACCACGGATGCCGTGCTGCTCAACAAGCTGCACGTAGGTACCGGCGGCGGGGCAGGCTGGGCGGGTGGGCCCGTGTGCCGCTGCTCGGGCGGCCCGTGCTCTTTGGTGAAGGGGTTGGGGCTGACCCTGAGGACAGCTGGGCCCTGGTCGCCAGCATCCAGTGTTCCAGGCGAGGCGAGGACACCAGGCTGCCCCTCAGGGAGCCATCAGGGTGGGCCACGCAGTCACCCCACTGCACCTCACTGCAGTCCTGGCATCGTGCCTGCGGGTCCCTGCCGTTCCCTCAGGGCCTCTGAGGGCCTCCCTGTGCCGGGGTCTTCCTGTGCCCAGTACTCCCTGTGCCCGGGCCTCCCTGTGCCCGGGTCTCCCTGTGCCCGGGCCTCCCTGTGCCTGTAACTCCCTGTGCCCGGGTCTCCCTGTGCCCGGGTCTCCCTGTGCCCGGGTCTCCCTGTGCCCGGGTCTCCCTGTGCCCGGGTCTCCCTGTGCCCGGGTCTCCCTGTGCCCGGGTCTCCCTGTGCCCGGGTCTCCCTGTGCCCGGGTCTCCCTGTGCCCGGGTCTCCCTGTGCCCGGGTCTCCCTGTGCCCGGGTCTCCCTGTGCCCGGGTCTCCCTGTGCCCGGGTCTCCCTGTGCCCGGGTCTCCCTGTGCCCGGGTCTCCCTGTGCCCGGGTCTCCCTGTGCCCGGGTCTCCCTGTGCCCGGGTCTCCCTGTGCCCGGGTCTCCCTGTGCCCGGGTCTCCCTGTGCCCGGGTCTCCCTGTGCCCGGGTCTCCCTGTGCCCGGGTCTCCCTGTGCCCGGGTCTCCCTGTGCCCGGGTCTCCCTGTGCCCGGGTCTCCCTGTGCCCGGGTCTCCCTGTGCCCGGGTCTCCCTGTGCCCGGGTCTCCCTGTGCCCGGGTCTCCCTGTGCCCGGGTCTCCCTGTGCCCGGGTCTCCCTGTGCCCGGGTCTCCCTGTGCCCGGGTCTCCCTGTGCCCGGGTCTCCCTGTGCCCGGGTCTCCCTGTGCCCGGGTCTCCCTGTGCCCGGGTCTCCCTGTGCCCGGGTCTCCCTGTGCCCGGGTCTCCCTGTGCCCGGGTCTCCCTGTGCCCGGGTCTCCCTGTGCCCGGGTCTCCCTGTGCCCGGGTCTCTGTGCCCGGGTCTCCCTGTGCCCAGTACTCCCTATGCCTGTAACTCCCTGTGCCCAGGGCCTCCCTGTGCCCAGTACTCCTTGTGCCCAGTACTCCCTGTGCCTGTAACTCCCTTTGTCCGGGACTCCCTGTGCCCGGGGACTCACTGCCCAGCCGCATGCGCTCCGTGTCGGGCTCTGAGCACCACAGGCCCAGCATCCCCCAGTCTTTGCGCTTCGTCTGTCCTGCCTGGAATGTGCTTTGGGCTCTTCCTGGGCTGAGGCCGGAGCCGCCTTCACCTTCGAGGCTCAGTTCAGGTCTCACCTGCGTGGACCCTTCCGCCTCCCGCCTCCCGCTCCGGCTGCCTGTGGGCCTCCTGCACCGCCGCGCCCTACTTACGTCCGTCCGTCCGTCCCCATCCTTTACAAGTGCTGGCGACGCACCCACTGAGAGTTAGGCACACGCTCCCCAGCACAGCGCGGCTCGGGCACAGCTGCTTCCCACCGTGTGCCGTGACCTGTGACATCTCGTAGGCGGCTCTTCCCAGGCTCCCTCCCTCAAGTGACCTGGGAAAACCTGCACGGCCGCTAGAATGCAACCCCAGAGGTGACCAGGAACTCTGAACTCCTTATTTCAAAAAAAAAGCCAGCTTTCTTCTCTACGCGTTTGTGCGTTAAAAGAGGTTTAGGAGGAAACCGACTCAGGGTTACTGATGCGACTTCGCCGTGGGGTCCCTGCTCTCCTGCTCACTGGGACTCCTCTGGCGTCTGCCTCCCTGCGGTCCCTCCAGTGTGGTGTTTGCGGCAGCCGCTTGCCGTTGGGCGAAGGCCGGTCTCCAGGGGGTTTCGTGTTTATTTTGGTCAGCGGCTGTGCAGGACCCCAGTCAGAGGTCAGATTGTTTTAAATGAACGCCATTTAAGGACTTTGCTGTCTAGACCCCTTGACTTCCTTCCCACTGGGGCATGGGGCTGCCAACAGCGTCGAAGGAGAATGACCTCTAGTGGCCAGGACGTCCTTCTCCAAGCTCAGTGTCACGTTACACAGCCAGGGCCCGTTGACCTTGAAGAAGGTCCCGGCAGAGACTCTGGAGTCACCGAATACCGGTTCCTCTGCTTCTGAAGTAGAACAACAGGTGACTGCCGGAGTCGACCTTGACGTTGCTCAGGGAACGCGGTGACGTCCGTGGTGACTTGATGGTGATGAGACCGCAGTATAGAGTGCGGTGTCTTTCTCAGAAACTCAAAACAGCCCTCAGCCCGTCGGAGGAGGGGCAAGACCAACACACTCACCTGTGTGTGATTAAAATAAATGTTTTTATTGATTTGAGAGAGAGAGGAAGGGAGAGGGGGAGAGAGAGAGAAACATAGATGAGAGGGAAACAAGCTTGGCTGCCTCCTGCACGCCCCCTTCTGGGGATTGGCCCCAAAACCCGGGCCTGTGCCCCGACTGAGAATCGAACCATGACCTCTGGTTCATAGGTTGACGCTCAACCACTGAGCCACGCCAGCTGGGCAACATGCGTGTGATTTTAATCAGCCAAGCCCCAGGGTAGAGGGCAGAACTCAGGATCCTGATAGTTTGGGCCATTCAGGAAAAGAAAAAAAAAGGATGGTATGGCCTTGGGCACCTGCCCGGTCATCTTAGGAGAAACTCCTGGGAATGGAATGGCTCCGTCCACGTTGGGCCCATTGAAACACTTGGTGATGGACGCGGCCGGTTATCCTTCTGAGAGTACCGGGTGTGGCCCCTCCTTAGAAACCTCGCGTGGGATTCGCCGAGCCAGATCCGGTCCTTTCCACGGGGGTGGGGGTGGGGGGGGAGCAGCACCTCGATCAATCCGTGGGCCCAGGTATGGTTCATACCATATTTCCTTTGGACCTACCTTTTGCCTCACCTGTTGGACCTAATAGTCCGGTGGATGTTTTTGCCAGGTCCCTTGGAATATATGCTGTGCAGGTGTTTCTTCCCTGCAGTGACTGTGTCCTGTGGATGCACCTTCAGAAGAAGATAAAATCACAAAGATGTGAATTTGGTTTTGTGGAGGGAGTTTTCTAAGCATTGATGTGTGAGCTCAGACGAACACATACCGTATTTGTGTAAAGGCAAAATGAATTTGGGAGTTTTCCCCTGAAGCAGAGCTGGTAGACAAAGTGAGTTCTTAGATTGTCTGTGAGTTCAGGCAGCGGTGGCTGTGGAGGCTTGTGCATCGGTAAACCTCTCGGCAGTTTCCGCTGCGACAGCTGCTATTTGAGGAGAACTTGGTAGCTAGTCACCCTCCCATGTGCTGTCCTCTCTGGTCTGGTTTCACCTCTGGTCTGTCTTTGCACAGACACCCCCAGACGTGGCTGCGCTTAGTTCTTTAACACAGAAAGTACGGCCGCCTGAGGGTTCACTGACATTTGTTTCAGCCGTGCCGGGGACTGTTGAGTTGGCACTTCGATACGTCGTCGAAACGTGGGTGGGAACTTCACATTTTAGATTCGTGGTTCCTGAACCGGCCCCTGGCAAGTCCTGAGAGCCAGGGAACCCGCGAGAATCTCCCCTCGTTGGGCCCTTCTCCCATTTACGCCCACGAAACAGCACCTTACGGTTCTCTAGAGGCGAGTCCTTTCAGGGTGGTGTTTGCAGCAGAGAAAGACGGTATCATTTGTTGGACATTTTTAAAAATATATATATTTTTATTGGTTTCAGAGAGGAAAGGAGAGGGAGAGAGAGAGAGAGACTTCAGCGATGAAAGAGAATCATTAATCGGCTGCCTCCTGCACACCCCCTACTGGGGGTTGAGCCTGCAACCTGGGCCTGTGCCCTGAGTCGAACCGTGACCTCCTGGTTCCTAGGTTTGAGCTCAACCATTGAGCCATTCCGGCCAGGCTGCACATACTTTCATTTTACCGAATCTGTTGTTTTTTCCCCATTGGCTTTTCCCCTTGATGGGGTGAGTCCGGGTCTACTCCCTGCAAGCCCTCGCCTCCTGCAGGCGGTTCTCAGTGGGTCGGATGCTTCCAGCAGCTGATCCTCCTCAAAGGACCTGCTTCCCCACAAACACCTGCATCGGGTGCAGGTGGGGCAGGTGCTGAGTTGGAAGCGGCTGAAAGGCTCCTCACCAGCCACTCGGTCCCCCTCCTGAGTCCCGCCGTTGGGCAGCTCGGAGCGTTAGGGACGCGGGTGTGGTAAAAGGCTGACGTGTGTTGAACGCCGGCTGTGTGTCTGCAGTGCTTTTTCTCGAGCCTTCAAACAGCCCTGAGCGGCTGCAGTGCCCCATTTCGTGGAGGAGAACACTGGGGAGGCCTGGGGAGGTCACGGGACGCGGCCGAGGTGAGAGGTGGCCTGTGGGGCGCCAGGGGCCAGTGCGGAGGGGCCTGGAAACGCACCTGGTGCGTCTGACCCGAGGACAGGGGACCCGGAGGAGGAGCCGCCGGGACCTCCCTGAAGTGCAGGCGTGGGCGCCAGGGTTCCCCTCCGTCGGATCCGCTTCGAATCCCGTCTGTGTGGTTTTACCCGTTTCGGTTTGGGAGACGGATCGGAATGGCGGTCCCTCGGTGCCTGGGAGGGACCCAGGTCCCGGGAGCACGGTTCTGAAATGCTAGCAGGACGGAGCGTCGAACAGGTAAAGGCAGGAAAGATAGCTGTTCAGGTTGGTGGCCCTGGGAGACTGTTCTGGAAGCTCCGTTCAACTTTACCGATTTCCCTAACCTGCGGAATTCGTGCTGGTCATCTCTCTCCCCGTCTCGCGTGTGGCGGGATAAATCTGGATTAACCCAAATGTGCCTTGGGGATTATTTCTGCCACTTAATAGATGTGTGACTTTTAAAAAGGAGCTTCTTAAGCAAAATTTCAAATAGACACAAAAGTAGAGAAAATAGTAGAACAAATCCCTTTTAATACCCATCGTCCAACTGCCTATGGGACGTCGGCCGCATGTTTTCATCTCTCCAGTCTGTCCCTTCTTTTTTAAAATCGGGACACGGATCTGCCCCTCAAGGGAGTGCCCTGAAGACGAAGTACATGGTCATCGGTGCCCAGTGATAAGAACTAGCGCTCACGAACGCTGAAGGGAGGCGCTGACTCCTGCGGGGTAGCTTCTGTTTTACCCTCATTTTACAAAAGGGAAACGGAGGCTCCCACCTGCTCAGTAGCACAGTCCAGGTCACAGAACCGGAGCCAGCATTTAGACGTAGGTTTATTTCAGCCCAGAGCTTTCAAAAAGGGCCTTTACAGACCCGAAAAGGGTTTTGCGAGTTCCCTTGCCCCCCTCCTCTACTTCCTTTAAAGGTACATAAGCTCAAGAAAATAAAAATACATCAGCCTATGACCTGAGCTGAGCCTAAGCTGACCGGCCCATGAACCCCTTAAAGAGAAAGATGCACTTTTGAAAAGTCACAAAGGCCAAGGGAGCAACGCCAGAGCGGGTGCCCAGCCCTTGCCTGTGGCTGAGCGGGTTCCCTGGCCTTGCCGGTGGCTGAGCGGGTGCCCAGGCCTTGCCGGTGGCTGAGCGGGTGCCCGGGGCCTTGCCCGTGGCTGAGCGGGTGCCCGGGCCTTGCCGGTGGCTGAGCGGGTGCCCGGGCCTTGCCGGTGGCTGAGCGGGTGCCCAGCCCTTGCCCGTGGCTGAGCGGGTGCCCGGGCCTTGCCGGTGGCTGGGCGGGGGCCCTGGCCTTGCCGGTGGCTG